CTCTTTTTGTACACACTTCAAATGGCTGCATGCCAAACCAGTAACAGCTGACTTAATTTAAGTAGATATTGGCTGTACTACAAAACATAGAATGTATTAAAACTGGAATTTTCCAGAGAGCATTGCCTCCTTTGCTTTCTCTGACCAGGTTAAGTCGGAATTGCAAAGCTCCAGACAGAAGTAAAGAAAGAAAGAAGACAGCTCACCACTTCCAGCTTGCTTTTTGGCACCCTGCAGATGCAGTTGGTTCCGAAGTTGGTGTCTCGCGTCTGGATGCACCGCAGGCAGCAGAGGTTCTCGTAGCCCTGTTTCTTCCACTTTGCAATCAGGTTTTTGTCAGCGTATCCTTCCTTGATGCAGTACTCGTAGAGCTCTGCAGAAGAGCAGGCAGCATCACCAACAGCTCCCAGTAACCATTACGAGGACGCACTGGATGGACCCACTAGCAGTTAAAGCTGGTCAGATGCCACCTTCTCTCCATCTTCCCTCCCCAGAACCTTAATCGTCCCATCAACACCACGGTGCAAGTGTGTTCACAGGCAGACATCTCATTCTGGGGCAGTTTCCCCTCCCCAAGATAAAAACTTCCATTCCTCACCTCTGCTGATGGCTTTTCTTTTATAGAAGAGGTCAAAAATGTAACGTGTCTTCTGGTGATGAATCCGGAAGATAGGCCAAAGGGATTCCACTTTCCTCTTCCCCTCGTGAGGCTCAGTCTCCGCTGYAGGGAACACAAACATGCGAGAGCAGCTAACGAGGCCCGGCCGTCTGGCTGCAAACTCATTTCCTTAGTCACAACAAGTGCTCAGAAAATCCATAACTTTAAAGCATTACAGATAGAGACAGAGGAATCTGACCCGGTACAGATCCTTTAGGGAATGGAGACGCAAACCGAAGGGCAGCGGTGACGACACGTCCCAGCGCTGGGGCTGGACGGGACTTTGTGGCTGCCCGCGCTCATCCGACCGGAGCGACAGCCTGGACTGGAACTGCGGGTCCCTCCGCGCTCGCCCACGAGCTTCGGCCGGGGGCTCTGCATGGGGAGCCCTCAAACAGCTCCGCATCAAATCCCGGCTTGGAACACAGCCGGAAAAGCCCAGTTCTGACCCACATCCCACCTTCCCATATGCCCCCTGCCTCGAGAGCAGAAGCTACTGTGACTCCAGCTCCCAAACACTTGGAATCCACAGCATCGCTGCCTAGGTATAAATACATATATGAGCTGTATATATATGAGGCATAAAAATATATGAGGTATAAAAAGGCTCATTGGCATTTGCAGGTGCAGGAGAGCTTCCCAAAGCGGTTGGGAATTATCCGGCTCCGGACACCCATCCCTGGACATGCAGCTCTGCCGCTCACCTTCCCTCATCTTCTGATCCAGCTCATCCAGCGTGGGCTCGATGAGCTCCCAGCCGTCCGGGGGAGGCTTCCTGCTTCTCTTCACTTTGGGCATGGCCTCGGGAACAGGCGGTGGGAAGAGGCAGCGGGAGCCGGGCTCGGGCAGCGCCCCGGCCTGCGGGAGCCTCGGATCGCGAGCGGCACTAGCAGGAAGGAAGGGAGCGGGGCCGTTAGGGGCGGGAACCGCAGGAAGGCAGCGCGGAGAAGGAAAGGGGAATAGGGAGGCGCTGGGGATGGGAACGGGGATGGGAACGGGGATGGGGATGGGAAGGGGTCGGGACCAGGAGCCGCTCACCGGTCGGCGACACAAGCACCGCTTCCGCCTCGCTGTCGCGACTCGTGACGTCACGCCGCGGGGCCTTTCCCGCCAGCCGCCTCGCGCGCCTCGCTGAGGTGTCCTCCGCGGTGCCTGAAGAAAAGCCCCCACGTTGCGCCCGGCAACGGCGGCTGGATCAAGGCTGGGAGCGCTGCCTTCCTGGAGAGAGGAGCGGCCGCGTTCCCTCCGCCAGTCCCTGGAGCCGTCGGGCCGGCGCGCGGGGGAAGGCGGCTCCGGGAACAGCCCCGCGGCGGGGGCCTCGCGGGCGGGGCGGCG